CTTAAGTAAACCAAAAGACCCAGTAGCCCAAGAAGAAAAAACAGAAGTCATCTACAACATAGAGTGTAAGGGCTGTAACAGCCACTATGTAGGACAGACAGGCAGAAGACTAGGAAAGTGCATCCATGAATACCAGTGGACTTAGCAATTTTAAGATCCAATGAAAACTCCTGAATCTTACAACACGTGGACAGACTCAACCATATGTTCAACTGGGAAACTGAGCATCCTAGACCAAGCTAAATCCAAAAATACTACAGAATCCCTGGAAGCTTGGCATTCAGACAAATCAGCTATCAATAGATACACAGAGATAAACCACATTCACACACCATTCAAAAAAGAGAACAAAAAAGCTAAGAAGGAAAGAAAAAAGACCAGAACACATCCTTTCCAACAGCCAACACCCAGATAAGCAGGGATTAACACCAGGCAAAAAATCAAGCAGAAAACAAGACCTCAGTCAAGGAACTACCAAAGATAAAACCACACTCCCATCAAAACTGGCAGGGCAAGCTACTGTATATAAACAGGGAGGAAAACCCACACTCCCTCGCACTGATGATGTTACCTAGTTGGGTAATGAAACGTCTGCAAGGAAAACAACCAAGCTCAGAGAGCACCAAGGACTCCACAGTTCAACCCTGAGCTACATATATTCTCTTCTATTGGAACCTATTTTATTCCAAGGGCCAAATTAATTTTGGGCATCCATGTCATATATGGCAAAGGCAGGGCCACAGACCACGGAGGAGTGCCATATGGCTCCTGATATACTATATATTGGTATATAGACTACATATTGCGATTCATTCTCTCTCTTTCTTTTTCTCTCCCCGCTGGAAATAGTGGAGGTTAAGTTTAACATCTGCCTTCTATATAGAGAGAGAATGACAATTTTTTAAGGAGAACTCCTGCTGATGGAAGCTACTTTAAAAGAAACTGTATACTAGCTGCTGAGTGAAGGCAACAAAATAATAACAAATAAAAAAGAAGAGTTAGAGCTACTCCACTCCTATTTGGCTCAGACTTGTCTGAGAAGAGGATATGTTTTCCACCAGGCAGTTGTGAACAGCAAACAGAAGGAGCAGGATGCCAGCTTCAGTTTCTATGAAACACAATCAAAGAATACCTACTGACCTTGAATGAGTTAGATCTCCAAGACCAGATGGAATGCATCCTAAAATACTGATGATCTAGCTGAATTTCTATTCACAATCTTGGCAAAATTCTACAGAACAGGCAAAATGGAAGAGAACAAATATTGATCCTATCTTAAAAGACAGAAGAAGAAGGATTGAGGCAGTCTAATGTTGATATCCAGGAAAATTCTACAGCAGATCATAAAATCAATATATAAGCATCTTGAAAACAAGAAGATGATGTGGGATAACTAGCTTGGCAGTAGTACATGTAAAAATAGTATCTGAATTGCAATTGATCAGAAACTGAATGACAATCAGCAGTAGGATGTGGCTGCCAATAAGGCAAATGTACTGATAATGTTGAACCTCAAACCAGTGGATGATCTCAACCAATGATTCTGGAGGGATGTTGAGTAGGAGGGAAAAGAGAGTCAAGCCCCATGACAACCCACAGAGAAGAGGCCTAGGGAGTGACCTCCCTCCCCCAACCAGCACCACCTGGAACAAGTCCTAAAGGAAAGAAGAGAACCACCATAAAAAGGTGCCCCTACTTCCCAACCCCTGGAGCCAGTGCATCAGATCCATCCGGACTCCACCACAGGTCATCTACAAATACAACCAAAGCTGTCTCCAAGCTAAATCCCAGCCTGAAACCCCACTGAAACAGGTCTAGATACTCCATTTCTTCAAGGGTTCTCTGCAGCTGCAAACCAATCACCTTCTAAATCACCTTCCCCCAAAAAGGCAGCTTCTTGAAGAGGAGACATGCCACTGCCTCTTTTAAGGCTGGATCCTCTCCCTCAAAGAGCTGGACACCATAGCATGGACACAACCACAGGTTACTTTTATGACCCAGGGGGATCCAAATCCAGCATACAGGTGGCTGAGTTAATAGCACAAAGGACCCTGTCCACTTTCTCAGGAGTCACCAGTTCAAACTCATCCCAAATTACACCACAAGACCGAGCCACAGACACCTTGGCCAGATCTGTCCATTCAGTCCAAGTTTTAAAAAAGAGATCCAGTTAGCCTAATTTTTTACTGAGTAAATTGGAAGAAAGCATTACTGAAAACTACATTATCAAGAACATAGGAAGCTACATGTTCTAAAGAATATCACATGGTTCTATAAAGATAAGCCCTACCTCACTATCCTTTTAAGTTAATAAGCATTTGGACAGGGATGATTTTCAGAAGACTTCTGATCCTTTTCAAAATAAACATAATATTCATGGAGCACTATGCTCTTATGGATCAGTAACTGGTTAAAAAATAGAAAGCAAAGAATAAAAATGGGCAGTTCTTGCAATGGACAGATTTAAATGGTGGGGTCCCATGGTTCTGTATTGGAACCAGTGCATTTCAGAATGTTCATTAAAAAATTGGGAAAACAGTCAGGAATAACCAATGAGGTAGCAAATTTGCTAAAAACACCAAATGGTTTTACAAAGTTAAAATCAAATTAAAAAAAGGTCCAAAAGGAGTCTACAAACTGGGAGAATGGGCATTAAAATGGTAAATGTGGCTCAAAATAACAAGGGGAAAGTGTGCCATGTACTCTTGCTGTCATTGGGCTTCAAAACAAACATGTAATCCCGTTAACCCAGGGATTGAGGTATCAGTTGGTTTACTGCCATCATCAAACCCTTTACTGATTTGAACCTCTATTACTTTATCCCTACCCACCTACCTCTCACCTCTGAGGTAATGTGATTTCATGGAACATAGTGAAGCTATAAAACAGTATAGACATTTTTTAAACATTTAAACAAGACACGGAATTAAGTTGTTGTTTTTTTTAATTTATCTATAGGCTGTCAAGTCTTGCTTTCCCCAGGACTAAATGTATATTTATAAACCTGTCACTGTGACAGATGAAGGTCATCCTAGGGCTAGGATTCTGAGCTTCCCGCAGACCCATCCTTCCACCTATAACCTCCCATATCCCTCTGTTTTCAGTTTCCACCCCCTCCTGAATAAAAACTGACAGAAGGCACCCTACATTACCATGCTTTGCATGACAGTTCTCATATCTAATTATCACAATGTGATGCATAGAAGGAAAAAACCTGGCCTCACACAGACAGAAGTCTCAGCTAGCAGTGACTAAACCAGAAATAGAACTTGAATTTGTGATGGATTAGCAATGTGAGACTATAAACCCAGGTGACTACAGTGAAAAAGATAAAATTTCATGTTGGAGATGACTAGGAAAGGAATTAAAAATAAAATTGGTATTATCCTGATGTTCTTCTGCAACCCTATGGTATAACCACACTTGCATTTTCTATGCAGGTCCCTACACTTCCAGAGAATTATTTATTTATTCGATTTATATCAATGGAATGACTCTGTCAATAACACCTAAAAGGTTTATGACTCCCATTCACTGCTGAGCATGACAACTTATAGGGTGTAAACATCCTATGGAAACTCACCTTCCTTCTTGTTAAAAGTGTTAAACTCAATTATTAAGTGTTCGTATGCATACTAAATTGATGATTACAAACTCACAAGGTTTAGCATCAAATCCACTATTTAGCTCTGCTCTGGGGGAAGAGAAGTACGTGTGTAGGTAACATTGTTACATCTTTCCTGCAACACTCTCTTCCCCGTGGCATTGCAAGCTTGAGGGGTTAATCACACAAGAGCCAAGTAAAGGCAAGAGACCATGATGCAACATGCATTAGATTCTGCAAGTGGAGAAAAAGAATCCAAACGTATCTTCTGTTTTCTTTTTAAGCACTTTGTAAGCTGATAACAGTGTGCGTGTGTGTGTGTGTGTGTACATTCTATATGCCTCTGCTGTACTGTATATTTATAAGGATTTAACTTTTAACTGAGAAATAGTTCTACTTCATTGTTTTATGACACATGATTTCTCTATGTAACTTTTTATCTAACCTGTTTTCTTGTTTTTTCCCCTTCTATGCCCTCAAACTATTTAGGAATATCCAAAGAATTCATGAGAAAGGGTAAACCAACTTTGTAATCCTTGGGGATAAAAGTATTGTGGTTTGTTCTTCTCCATAATGAAATTACTGTACCCAACTTTGATTAGGAAAGGAGAACCTTTTCAACCTAGAAGGCATCTGTTACTAGTTGTTTAGTCATACCCACATTCCATACTACATCTTTTCACACACAGTCAGATTAGCATCCTGGGCACAATCACTGGGAGGGCGCAGAAATCTTCATTGCTTCCCCTTCCCTCCCAGTTATCTTAGGGCAAATTTCTAGCTTGCCACCTATCAGCAATCTTGAATAAGGCATCTTTCCCCCTTGTAATGACCCTGCTCAGAGCAATATAGTTAGATTTTCAATTAGCATTACTACATCAGGAAAGCAAACAAGGGCAGGGTTTTTCAAATCAAGTTCCACAGGCCCCTAGGTTCCATGAGCACTTGATGGGATTCCACAAGAGACTAAGGGCAAAAAAATAATAATAAATAAATAAATAACTAATATATAAATTTGCATAAATAAAGTACAACATGCACATATTTCATTTTATTGTCAATTTTCTATCCTAGAACTTTGCCTCTTGATCAAGATTTTCAAGATTTTTTTTTAACTAACAAGTTTCACAACTGGAAAAAGTTTGAAAAACTTTGCTCTAGAGAATCTGGATTTCATTTCCCATCATGCCCAGCCAGCATGGTTAATACCAAGAGGTTGTGGTAGTTGCAGACCAGTACATTTGGGGAATGCTGTCTTAAAGAATGTACATGAAGCTTTCTGAACATTCTACAATGCTTTATCAATGCTATTATTATTACCGCTAACATCTGCAAAGGAATATTCTATAGAACAAATTCAGGGCAGTTCAAATAGTAGAAATGCCTTGAGTTAAAATAACAAAAAAGCCTGCCTGTACCCTTCTTCCAAGAATGCACAAAGTATTTTAAAGATTATTCTCCCCAAAAGTCTCAAATAAATGAAAACAATTCAAGATTTTTTTCTGTCTCTGGTGCTACTGATCTTTTATTTACCCAAAGAAATCTCAAACTAATAAAAGTATTGGGAGTACTCTCCTACTCATCATCAGCATAAACTAACAGGTACAGTACAGTCTGCAGCAAGTGTTGTGTGGCTACTACAAAGTTGCCCTGTCATTACTACTGTTGAATGCCCACACTGTTTCTAACAAAAGATGGAGAAATTAAGCGGCTGTACCAAGTTCAAGTACATAAAGCATCAGAAGAACTTTCCTCCAGCCATAATGTTATTGTGAGGGTCAAAAACATTTAATAGATGCAGTATTTTGGTAATATCTCCTAATTATGGACAGAGCTTAGAAATTGAAAGAGGACCTACTCTCTGAGATAAGGTTTCCTGTAATGTTCAATGCATTTCAAACGATGTGCAAAATAACCGTGTTGTGACTAACACAGCAGTTTGGGTTTTTTAAATCCAGATCGGGAATGAATTTCCAAAAAAATTATCTGCTATTTAAAGTATGAGTGGGACTGGTTTGAGTTTCTGCACAAAGCAGATCCTTCCTCCCTATAATAGATTATTTTTAATATGATTCTTGCACTGAACTCAAGGGCACGTGGGCCTTGCAATTCATTCACCTTTTCCCCTTCAAGGGAGAAACCCAGAACAATCCATAACCTTCTGCTGCCCTTTGCGAACACAAATCAAGTACACATTGGCTGTTGCTCTGGCGTGTTCATCCTATTGGGACTTAAGTTGACAGCTGTTCCTTCCACTCTAGTCTTACACAATGCAGATTTCGATTGCTCTTCCCTCAACACATTTCTACCAGGGAACACCTGCCATTCACAATTCTGACAATCCTTTGTGCCTTTACTCTAATGTAAGACCTTCTATATTCAATGTGGCTTACCTGAGATTATTTATTTCTTTATTTATTTGTATTTCAAATTCGCCACCACCCATCTCACTGCGGAGTGACTCTGGGCGGTTTACAGTAAAAATAGAATAAAACATTAATTAAAATAGATAAATATTATGCAATATTTATGCAATATTGTTATGCATATTTAGTTATGCAATAATTATGCAATAAAAGATATGCAATATTGTTTCTGCACATATTCTTCCCTCTCCCCCCACCATCCTGCCCCACATAAGGAAGGAAGGAAGGAAGGAAGGAAGGAAGGAAGGATGGATCTGGGATGTGGATTACACTTCTTCCATTTTCTCTCATCAGGAGATAGGAAATCAAGGGACACTGCAGTCTCTCATAACCAAGGAAGTGGTTTTAAGAATATGAACAATATTCCCTCCATTCTATGTAATGGGGAACTTTTATAGAAAGAGAGGGACCTCCAGTGCTATTTTCCCCTTCACGCGCTGAAAAAATTTGAGTGACAGGGTGACAAGCTGCATATCTGCTGGGGGAAGGAAGTGAAGTCAGAGCTTTTGACTGGTAGGACATCTTCGCTCGGTAGGAAAACATAGGCTCCGACTGCAAAGAGCCTCAGGCCCAACCCCTGCCGCCTCCAGCTTTCAAAGACTGCGGATAGCAGAACCAGGGAAAGATGCCAGAGGAGGAACCAGCCTGATACGCGCGCAGATGTCTTGGACGAAAGGAACAGCCTCGCGTTTCCTGGATGTGCCGCATGGGGCTCACGAACGCATAGTCCAGCCAGCCGGGAGCGCCGGGCAGCTTCTCCCTGCCCTGCTACCGATGAGCTGACCCCGCAGCTTCACGAGCACCCGGAGCAAGCGCCAAGGCAGGGAATCCGCCCCGACGATCGGCTCTGCGGCCCCCAGCCCCGGCCGCTGAAAATCATCGGGGAGGCGAAAGCCCCTCACTCGCTTTCCCGACCTCTCAAAAGGCAACTCACCCTCGCGGTGACCTTATAGACCGTGTATCCCCGAGGATGGCGCTTGGGCTCGGTGACCGTGTAGAATCGGGCCAGCTCCCTGCCTCGACTCCGCGGAGATATCATCCTTGCCGCCGCCGTCGCCGCTGGCGCAGGGGCTCGCTGGAATTGCCGAGGCCGCCGCTTCCCCGGCGCCGGCTGGGCGCCGCCTCCCCGAGCTGTCAGTCAATCGATCCACTCCCGGGTCAGGCCCGGACTAGAGGCGGAAGCAGCTGCGGAAGTACCGCGCCCGTATCGCTTCCCTCGTAGCGGCTCAGCGAGCGGCAAGGACCGGTGGCTTCTCGCGCTGGCCGGTCGGTCCATTTCTCCACCCACCCATAAGGGCTGGAGACAAGAGAAAGGACGGCGAGATCCCCACAGCGGTGTTACGATCGAGAAGCTACAGCAAATGCTGCGGCTTCTTTGGTATCCAGAAAAAAGTAGACAGACGGAACTTGTCCTTACAAAAATAAATGGGAAAAAACGCTCAGTGTTATCTGGCATCACCATTCTGGTAGGGAAATCAAGAGTTGAATTCAGCGGGGGTTAGCCCCATTAAGATTTGTCTTCATCGTAATCCTCGGTAGGCGATGTAAAGTTTTTGTGGCCCCTTTCTAATGTTGCTTGTTGTACCCTGTAAAGAAGTTCCGCCCTATTCCGTATGGGAGGGATGTGAGACAGAATTGAGAGAGAGAGAGGATCAGAGAATGAAAAAACATTAGCCCCTCTGACTCTTGTTTAATCTTAATTCTGGTGAGTTGAGTATTGTATTATAATATCTAACTATATAATTGTGTGTGTGTGTGTGTTTATATTGTAAAGAAGTTCCGCCCTATTCCGTATGGGAGGGATGTGAGACAGAATTGAGAGAGAGAGAGGATCAGAGAATGAAAAAACATTAGCCCCTCTGACTCTTGTTTAATCTTAATTCTGGTGAGTTGAGTATTGTATTATAATATCTAACTATATAATTGTGTGTGTGTGTGTGTTTATATATGCACATGCACACACATAGACATTCTATATTGTCTTCAGACATTTCCTTTATTTTTTGTACCAGGAGCACAGAGGAGGGGAAAATACTGATACAAAACATGGGGAGTAGCCACTCCACCAGGCATAATACATAAAGGGCAAATGTGTGCAGAGTAAGCCTTCATGACTAGAAAAGTATACACAAAAGCTCAATCCTCACCCTGCAGACTCTTACAGTGCATATGCAGAAATCAGTGTGAAGTACTATATAGCATGTTCAGCGGGGGAAGCTTAGTGGCTTAGTCTCACTCTCCCTTCATTTTCAAGGAATACTTTGGAAGCAGACTAAAATCTTTGTACTAATTAATAGCAGCAGCAGCAGCAATAAAACTTGGTCACACAAATATTGAATACAGATTTGTAAGTCCCTCCTGGATCCTGGACCAGTCTTTTGCTTGTATCAATGTTTTAATTTTCTGAAGTTTCACAATGAGATCAGTCATCAAGGTGTTTCTTGTGTGGATTTCCTACAACATGCTGCAGAATCCTATCTAATGCGCAGATGGTCACTGTAAAATAAGTATAATTAAGATAGCCTCTCTCTGTAATATACTGAGGGCCGCATCTCTGAAATTTGTTGGATTATGATGGCAAAATAATAAATAAAAATAGAACTGTAGGATTTTAAAGGCTAACAAATTTGTTATTGCATTAACTTCTGTGACTCTTGCTTATACACCTGGGGTAACTAATACAGACCAAAACCTTTCTTCATTAATGTGTTGTCATGCTGTAACCTACACAGTTGAAATCTACACATTTGGGCAGGCTATAAAAAATATAAACAAATAGAATTTTTTTAAAAAACTACTACTGCAGTGTTATGACTTTGTGAAGAAAACGGGCAAGTTTTTTTGTTTTTTGTTTGGCTGTATTACTGCATAATTTAATACAGAATATACATCTGATGATTTTCTCTGAGAAGGCTGCTTGTGCAGAACTTAAATCACTTGGGATTTGTCAACATGTTGAGATTCCCCTCATCCTACATTGTGAGATCACCATAAACATGCTTCTAAATTCTAGGTATAGCAGCCAGTATTGCCATGACAACTTCACTACAGTACTGTACAGGTTTTCATGAGTGTTCTTACTGTATTTGGTTTTAAAAGGATAGAATCTACGTTGATTGTTCAGTGACTACTGCTTCATTCGGTTAAAACTAGATGTGAAATGGCATCATGGCAATAAGGTTTGTAATATATGAATTTGTTAGATATTTAACACTCATTTAACTGCCGTGTACCAAAGCACCAATTGTTTACTGAGAAGTGAACCTTAAAATAGTCCTGTGACTTTTTACTCAGAAAATCACTCCCAGCTCTGCACACATAAGGCTATAGCTTGAGTAAGGTTATGCTAAAGTTTAATACAACTAAACCCCAAATAAGTGTTGATATTGAAGCTGTGCAGCACTTCAGATTTGATCTCCAAAAGGAGGAGGGAGTGCACAAGAGTGTGAGTGTAACACCAGTCTGCAATTCTTTACAGCAGACACATCTTTTCCTGGGATTACATAGCTGCTGTCCTGCTGTGCATTTCTGGGAAAAGACACAGCTGCTTTAAGGTGGTTTAGATAAGTGTTGCATTCATATTCCTGTATGCTCCAAAGTACTTTTTGTAGATCAGATCTGAAGCACTGCATAATTACAACTCATATGATTGCAACTTGATTTCCCCCTCAGCAAAATTATTTTTAATCTATATTTTATGCCTAAAATCTCTTTTTTTATAAGAACTTTATTAAGTTATAAAAAGCATAAAGATAAAAGCAAACAAGAACTAATAATCAGGGAGAAAAGTAGATTTGTAGATCAGATCTGAAGCGCTGCATAACTACAACTCATATGATTGCAGCTTGATTTCCCCCTCAGCAAAATTATTTTTAATCTATATTTTATGCCTAAAATCTCTTTTTTTATAAGAACTTTATTAAGTTATAAAAAGCATAAAGATAAAAGCAAACAAGAACTAATAATCAGGGAGAAAAGTAGAGAACAACAGAGTTAGTGATAGAGAAAAAATACAAGTGATAGAAAAAAAAATTACAAAACCTTTGACTTCTTATACAGCAGATATAGATAAATCATATAATAACCCCTTACTCTAAAACTACATCTTAACATACATATTTGTATAACCTATTAATTTAACTAATCATCAGATCCATATATCATTTCATTTTTTTCTGTCTCCTTGCAAAAAGTCCAAAAGGGGCTTCCAATTGGCATTAAAGTTAGTCAATGTTTTTTCTCTAAGCAAAGCTGTCAATTTTGCCTTTCTGTCTCCTTGCAAAAAGTCCAAAAGGGGCTTCCAATTGGCATTAAAGTTAGTCAATGTTTTTTCTCTAAGCAAAGCTGTCAATTTTTCCATCTCAGCTAACTCCATCAGCTTCACCGTCCATTCTTCCATGC